TCAGTGTGGAACGGTGACAGTCGTGCTTGGGCAGGGTGGGCTGGGGAGGAGAGGCGGGTTTGAGACGGTGAACTTTATGTAAAACTGTGTCGCTGGAGGCGTGAGGCAAGCTGGAGTGGGAAGACACAAAGTTTCCACAGAAATAAACGTGGTATTAATGTCACGGCTGGACTTTGTGTCTGCAAAAGTACGTTGTTAATCAGAATTTCGCTTTCGGCCGCCAAAACCAACACGAGGACGTACGCTGGGTACTTTGTACCGGCAAGGTAACCCACACTATAAACTCTGTTGGTGCTGTGAGCGTTGGCGGCCTCTCACCTCGGAAGGGAAGAACCACCACGTTCCCCTTCACTCTGCGCTTGCTATCAGGCTGGTCGCTGTGGGGACCCAGCTGGCCCTTGGCAGCGCTGCCGTGGGTGCCCCCTCCGCACCGGTGTGTTAGTGGGCGCACGCTGCCCGCCTCTTCTCCCGGTGAAGTTGGGGCCTCGCTGCCGCCCAAGGGGTCCCCGTTGAGAAAACGGTGACCCTTTGCCTGTGAAACTGGTTTTGTATGGTAAACGCTGGGGCTCTGCTAGTGAAAACAACGCATATGGTGATTGGTTTAGTTTAGGTAGTGAACCCCTATTTTTAAGGTGGTGTTGAATGTTTTGAATACTAATTATTTTCTTTTATTATTATTTCATTTTAAAAGGCCGGGTACTGTGGCTCTCCGTGAAATCAGGCGCTACCAAAAGTCTACCGAACTTTTGATCCGCAAACTTCCCTTCCAGCGTCTGGTGCGTGAAATTGCTCAGGACTTCAAGACAGATCTGCGCTTCCAGAGCGCTGCCATCGGCGCCTTGCAGGTGAGCGCTCCCTCCCCTGCCCTGCCCCGGGCTCCTGGGGGAAGGCAGCGGGCAGGGATGTCCCTGCCAGACACCCCCCAAAATCCCCCAAACCGGGAGAGGGAAGGTACGGGGAGGGCTCCGCCTCCCGCCCCCCATTGGCCAGGCTGTTTCTAGGGTTAGCCCCAGCTCCGCCTGATTGGTGGGCTTGCCGCGGTGGGCGTGGCCCCTCCAGGGAGTCGGGGGCTCCTATGGGGATGTGCCTCTCAGCTTTGCCGTGCTCAGGGTGGGCTTGGTGGTGCCCTATAGGTGCTGTAGGGGAAAATAACGCGCCGACAGATCAGTGGCTCCTCCAAAGGCTATAAATGTGTTTTTTTGGGGGGTTGCTTTTTTTGGTTTGTCTTTGTTGGTTTTTTTTTTTTTAGTAGTTGCACTTGACAGAGCAGTGCATCTTATTAAGGTGCTTAAAATAAATCTCTTTCCTCTATCCTCGAGCTTTGTTAGAGGATTTGCTTTGCCTTTGAAAGCTACGCAGCCTGAGAGGAAAGCTTCATGTAAAGCTGTTTCTGGGGTGTCCAAATGGAGGTCTTGGTATCCTGAAGTGCTTGTGAGAGAAAAACAGCTTGATGAGCCATGTCTAAACACCATTAGGGAAATAAGTGCTGTTGTAGGATGTAGTTGATGCTAAACACGTTTTTAATATATTAGTTAAATAACTTACTTAGAGATTATATTGAGGGATAAATCCCAACTGCTCTTTGTGGCCCAAATTCGTGCATCTAAGTTAGGTCCCCTCCAAGGCTCTTGTTTTTATCACGGGAACGTTTCCCTCTCATGATAGAGACTCCTGATTAAAGATAAGTCTTTACTGTTGTTCTGGCTGTTGAAAGATTGTTCCAGAACCTGTGATATGCAGGCAAAATAGTCTTTTTCTAGTTAATGACTTCTACTTGATAAGGGCTGAGACATATGCCATGAGGTCCTATAAACTTGAGTACGTGCTTTTAGCTACAGAGGGTGGCTGTGTGCATTTGCAAAGTTGCTGCTTTTGCTTTTAGTTGTTGTTCTGTCTTCACTGCTGTGAGTGAATGTGGTGGTTTGTAAATCCTGAGGTTTACCTGTGTGTCTTTTTATCAGGTACTGATTATTAAAATGTAGTCAGTAGTTAGTACGCTTTCAGAAGGCTGGTTTGAATGTTCCTGGCTTTGCATTAAGGAGTTGTTGGTAGTTGGTGTAGAACCTGTTCACATACTGTTCCTAGTGCTTTCTGCTTGCATATTTGCAAAAAAAAAAAAAAAACCCAAAACCAAACCAAACCAAAAAACAAAAAAACACAATAAACCCAACCACTTAACCCCTTTAGTATCATGTTGTTCAGCATGGCTTCTTTGGTGAAGTGTCTAACTTTTCATGTAGTCATTTAGCAAAACTGTCTTAAGGGAACTTGTGTTACCCATATCCTACTGCATACGAAATGACTTACTAATGCTGCAGTCCTCATCTGCTGTAGTAAACATTTTTCTTTCTTCATATTAGATAACCTATGTTTTTAAACAGGAACTTTTAACCTAGTAAGTTGATTTTTGTGCTTCCTGGTGATGAAATGGTTCACACAAGCTATTCTCTTGCATGTATTCTAGAAGGGGGGACCTCAACCTCCTTTCTTTAAGTGAGCCCCAGCTGTGTCCTGGTCTGATGCTGGCATGTTGGGAAGCTTCCTAGGAGACTGTTAGGTGTTAGAATTCCGCATCAACCCAAAAATGTGTAAACAATTACTGTTGCTGTGCCGGCCTTAACAGCAGCTAATTCAATGTGAGCCGGAAGAACAATAAAGTCCAACTGAATCCAGAATCCTGCCTGCTGCTGTTCAGTAACAGGGAAAGCACTATGGTCAGGGTTATGGTTTTCCTAGGATAGGAAAATGTGCTCCTTTGTGCTCCCGAGTGCTGACCCCATGATTCTCAGAGACAGCAAAGGGCTATGCTGGGTGCCCCAAACAGACAGGAGATGCTTAGGCAGGAAGAAAGTACAAGAACAGGGCAAGTGTCTAATGGTAGTTCTCTGACTGCTGTCCTGTTTTTGGTGATTCCGGTAGTTCCTGAGTTAAAGGACTTGTTATCTTTCTTCTAAGAATTCTCAGTACCTTTTTTTTTTTTTCCTGCCAATTTTTGACTTTTGAGTTAAGCCACCTCTTTGGTATCCTTTGACAAGGAGCTGTGCACCCAAACTGTGTGTTGTAAAGGAACACTTGCTCTTCTTTTCCCTAACACCTGCCCATTTCATCTGATGCTCAATAGCTCTTTCTCTGGAAGAGGCAGCAGACAATTCACTCAAATAGTGTAACCCAGGCTTTAAAAAGAGAAGTTCCTAAACTAAGCCCTTATCTTGTGAGAGTCTTGTCAGAATACTGGTTCGGTTGTGTTCTGGAGGATGTCTTTCTCCAAATGGCAGTAGTACACAGGATGTTACTTGGTGGTTTATAAGCAAATGGGGACTTTTATTTTTTGAGAATCTAAAACCGTTGATGTTTGTGAGTAATAAAGATAGAAGCCTAAACTTAATGCCATGTCACATTGTACTAAGAAATACTATTTTTTTCCTAGTGCTCAGAGAGTGAAAGTATTCTTAACTCTTTTCTTCTACACTAGGAGGCGAGTGAAGCCTACTTGGTTGGCCTGTTTGAAGATACCAACCTGTGTGCTATCCATGCCAAACGTGTCACAATCATGCCAAAAGATATCCAGCTAGCACGCCGCATACGTGGAGAGCGTGCCTAAACTTCACTATGATGGGTTTGTCATTCTTGAAGCTAAATCTTCTTCCTGTTATTGGTAGTAATGAACGTTAGATATTTTTTCCATGGGGTTAAAAGGTACCTAAGTATATGGTTGCAAATGGAAAAATAGGGGACAGAATTGGGTATTGGCAAGTTTTTTTCCATTTTCATTTGTGTGTGGATTTTTAATATAAACGAGGGGACATAAAACATCAATGTGGTCAAAAAATGTTTCAGTGAACAAGTTTCAACAATTCAACTTTATAAAAAAAATTATAAATAAACCTGTCAAATTTTTCTGGACAATGCCAGCATTTGGATTTTTTTAAACAAGTAAATTTCTTATCAATGGCAACTAAATGGTGTTTGTAGCATTTTTATCATACAGTAGATTCCATCCATTCACTATACTTTTCTAACTGAGTTGTCCTACATACAAGTACATGTTTTTAATGTTGTCTGTCTTCTGTGCTGTTCCTGTAAGTTTGCTATTAAAATACATTAAATGATGCCTGCTTTTAGTCTTGATTTTTAAATATTACATGTGGGTTATATTTGATTGAAAAATAATCAGCCTTCCCTTCTCTTTTTCTCTTCAATATGTGGCCTAAATACTTCGAGCAGATCTAGGAAACGCTGGGGATAGTACCTTGGCTGAAGTAGTGTATACGTGGGGTGGGCGGGGGTTTAGGAGTGTAAAACTTCTGTCTGTCCCAGGTGAAAGCAAATTTGGTGAGTATATTACTGGCTGGAGCCTGGAGCTGGACTGAGCTCTCGAACTAAGCTACAGTGCTAAGAAAAAGCAGTTTTGTTGCTATTTAGATCCCTTTCTTACCCAGCTTAATGCTGAATTTGGAAGCATTTCTGATTCGTTAGTGTGGTATAAATGGTGGGGTGTGGTGGTTTGGGTTTTTTGTGTGTGTTTTGGGGTTTGGTTTTTTTACTTATTTTTAAACCCTTTTGCACTCTGTTTTCTGGTTTCTCGGTTGGTAGGTGTTCACTTTTTGGTTGACTACCTTTCTGTTTCGGTCACACCCTCTAGCATGTTTGAGAGCTGAGTCCATGTGTAATTAGTTTCAGTTTGTACACTCCAATCAAAAAGACGCTTTTGTACCATTTTTTTTAGTTACAATATTTCATAGAAGCAACATTTAGACAGGACCACGCACTTGAAAAGTACTAATTTTTTTTTATACACCACCCCCACCCCCCAATTGCTGATGAAAGTTCCTGTGAAAAAATTCATTGCTGAAATTGTCTTCTGTAAAAGTTTGGGTTTAATTTTTCAGCTGAAACTTGTTTAAGGATTCTGATGGACCAGTCTGGAAATGAGTTATGTGGTGTACTTTTTGATAGCTCTTGCAGATCGTGAAATGAGTTATGCAGAAGAAAATATGTAGGCAGAGAACAGACTTCACCTCTGTGCTAAGACCCTTACAGAGCTTATTTGCTGCTAACTTCTTTCAGGAGGTTCTGAGTGAGCTCTAAACACACAAGTGAATTTGTCTGAAGATTTCCAAAGAGGATTAATAGAGATGTATTATCTGCTTTGGTATTTTGAACAGAGCACCAAAAATTACAGAATAAATCACATTATTCATAACTTGCTCAGCTCTAGTAATGAATGCTGTCTGCCAGGGCTGTGCGGAGTAAAGTCTCTTTAAATGGAGTAGCTTGTCACAGAGAAAACTAATGCTAGACAAAATGTGATCACATCCTTTTGATGCCAAGCAGTTTATAGCTATCAACTAAAAATTAAGGAAGACTTGTCTTGGAGCATCCAGAACAACAGAAATATGAAAAGTGAGCAACTGAGACTTAGCCAATTTAAGATGTCACTTCTGCCTGCTTGATAACAACACTGTTAAGCTTGCTACAAATGTATTTTGATATAATTAACTACTTGTTTTGTCCTGTACTTCAGAATTCTGTTTCATGCATCAGTCAACAATGCTGCAACCACCTACACAAAAAGGTAATTAGGCTGATTTTGTTTGTTTGTTTAATAACCTGGAATTGAAGTATTGATAAGGAACATAGTTTTTTCTTTCTTGGGTATATTAGAAAAGCAAATCTAGAGATTTTGGTACTCAAATGGAATACTGAGTTCTTTCTCTTAGAGAGAATTGGGGTAAGGACTATCCCAGTTTAATGCAGTTAAACTGTTCAAGGGAGAAGAATTCATAATGGAAGATGAGGGGATCAGGAATCTATGCCATGTGCAGTGGTACACCTGCAGCTTAGGGATAAGCTTTGCCTCTTTGAGAGCATTGGTTATGACAGTTGTGGTCCTGGAGATGCCACGTGAATCTTGTTAGTGATCAGCTGTCTATGTTGATACCAAGTGTTGTCTTGGTTTCATTCCTGAGGAATCTTAGGGTACCACTTCTCTGCTCCTCATTTGTTTTATCAAGTATGATGGTTTTTCATTCTTTAGACTTTTCCACTGTTTTGCTGAACAAACTATTTAATAATCTCTAGCTTTCTCACCCCCTGCCCTGAGAACACTATCTTTTTGATTTTACTGTGCAGCAGCAGGAAAACATGAACAATTAAATCACCAGCTTTCATTCAGAACTGCTTTTTTAAAAATTGCCTGAATGGTCCAGTTGCCAGTCAAATTTTGGATGGATCTTCCAGTTGATGCTACTTAATGTTAATGGAGGAAGGAGAGAACAAAAGGTTGCTGCTTTTTTTTTTTTTAATGCTGGGAGTTATTTGGGGTTTGGTTGGGTTTTTTGGAAGTATTGTTGACAATTCATTCAGAGTTGACAGTTCACTTGCACCTGGAAGTCTCTCAAAGACAGGCTCTGCAGGACAGAAAGAGCAAAACAAAAAGGTGGGGATTGGTGTTAATACAGAAGCTGCGGAGGTGGGAGGAACAAGACCATCTTACAGTTCCCATTTAATCAACTTTTTTTCTTGTGTAGTAGCATTCCTGATTTGGGAACTGGTGGAGGGACAGGAGGACTACATAGCAATGGAGATCCACAGTTAGGGCACCCATGGATTGTTAGAGAAGGTAGGATATAAAGTGTTATTTAGAGTTAAGTTCTAAGCTGCTGATGTTGTGGTGCTGAAGGTCCCTTCCTTCGGTCACTTCAGGATTGCAGGTTCTTGCTCCTGGGGGCGAAGAAGGGTGGACAAAATAGTTCTGATCCAGTTACATGCAATGGTGTGGTTTAAAAATAACTGAAGAATTGTGTTTTGATCAATGCAATTTCCCCCCAACATTTTGCATGTTGCTGCATGTCTGTCGTGCTGTTTGGAGCGAGCAGTAGCTGCTGGTGGCCTAGTTAGCTGTCTGTGTATGCAGGTTTGGGCATCAGCTGTAAAGAAAGTCAGCCTGAAGTCAAAGTCCGCGGGTGTTCACCAAATAGGTATCGCAGCTTGTCGTCTTACTACCCTGGGCTGCCTCCTCTGGAGCTGACGAGTGGGGAAATGAGTCTCAGGTGGATTTAGCTGACCTACAGGGTGGCGATCCATTAAAACATTGCTCTTGGATGTCCTAGATGTCCTTTTGGTAAAACAAGGGGTGATCCTTTTGGAACTGTGTGTGCCTGCTTGTTGGGTGAGAGAATTTTTGAGGGAACTATTGACGAACAAATATTAATGGATTTAAAATAACTTAAGGGTTTGTTGTTGCGTTTTGGTTTGGTGGTTTGTTTTTTTTCCCCAGAGAAGCATGCTTTTCCTCAGCCAGTTTTGCAAGCACTGTTTAAAGTCTTAGTATCTACAGTTGCCATATGTCAAAGAAATTATAATATTTAAAAATGTAAATTCCTATTAACTTGTGGTGTTTGGGAGTTGTGGGGAAAGGGAATACCATCACGCTTGAATGTGGGCTAGTTAAGCAGATTTCTTTTTCTGTCACTGTTAAAGTCACACATGCTACATTCTCGCAATTAGAAATTATAGTTTACATGCGAGAGAGATGTAATACTGATTTAAAGCATTTTTATTCTGCGGAAGAAGTGGCTTCAGGTTCCTCTTTCACATCTGAAAAAAAAGTAGACTGAACTTCAGTCCCTAAAATAGTTTACCTCTTTTTTTTTTTTTTTTTTTCCTTTTTTTCCCCAATAGCAATTCTGCTATTTTCTAGGCAATTCAGTTGCAGTGGAGATTTTGGGTACTAGAAACAAGTTGTGGTCATGTGGACATCCTCCTGGGCAGGAGTTTAACTATATTGGGTGGAGGGATGGATGTGATGTGGCTTCTTACTTGTTAGTGACAAACATAATCAAAGGTTGATCAACTGCTTAAGGCATACCGTTATATATATGTCCACGTTTAAATTTCTGAAATATTTTGTGAAGTCCTTTATAACATGTATGTGATAAGCTGGTTTTTAGGTCTTAGTTTTGGATTTGTGTATAACAGCTGCGTTTACTTGCTGTTTTCACAAGAGTAAATATAAAACCTTATTTTTTTTTTCTTAAGTTGAATGCTTTGTATTAGCAACACAAAAAGCAAGCTTGCCTACTGGAGCCAGAAAGTAATGTACTGGGAAATAACTTCACACACAAGATCAGTCTCTCTTGTGTGGCTCTATCACATTCAGCTGGTAGTTCTTGAGAGCTTGACTATCGTGAAGCTTAAACCCAGCATTTCATATTTTGTTTAGGAAAGTAACTTGCTGAATATAAAGTAAGTAATGTTAGTGCACCTACGTTTAAGTGATGCATTGCTGAGCTGGGTTCATCCAGCCCTTTATCCCATCTGGCAGGAGCTATTAGGTGATGCCACTGTCCGGGGACCAGATTCGTTAATGCTTGCTCTATGACAGGTTGTAGCACCTACTTGAAATCTTGTTCGGGAAGGGGAGTAAGTGCAACTATTTCTGTCAAAATAACTGCTCGCTAACAGTCTCTTACGGTGGTGAATTTTTGGGATGCATTTTGTGATTTGGGATTGCTGTCCCAGGACATGCATTCTGGCCCTCTTGACTTTCATGTGGTTTTGTGACCGCTTAGTGATTGAATCCACTTTTTAACGTGACTGAAAGCAGTGTGTGTGTCTCACATACTTCCTGTGCCACTGCTTCTGGTCAGTTAGACAAATAATTTGACTCTGCATATCCGCTCGCTCTGAAGCGATAAGAGTAGGACTATCCATTTCCCTAGCAGTATACAGTTTAGGTTCAGTTTCACAATATGCTTGATCCAAACTTAGGCCTTTGCTACCATTCTAATACCAGCTTTTCCTGCTACGCTTTCCTCTCTTGATGAGTTACTTTAGTTTATCTTCTGGAGCTTAATTTTAAACTCAAGGTTTAGTGAAGTACAGGCAATGTTCAGATCAAAGATTGGTTGCATTTTTTACTGCAATTCTGTTTCTTACTATAGCAAACAAACACATGCAAATTTTCTTGGTCTTCATAATAAGTAGGAGTTACAAACACTTTTCATATGACTAGGCTTCCAAGGCTTGAACTCAGAGGAAGAATTCTAGTGTCAGGAAAGTGTTTCCCTGGTCCAGGTGACTTTCTTGATATTGGGGAGCTGTTTGCT